TTGTTTCGGTTCAGCATTGCAAAAGCACCTCCTCGAGTTCTCGGTAGGAAAATGCATCGACTATAGCGATGTGCTGAGCTTAGTCTACTCGTGGCTCGGATCCATCCTATTGATCCCCCATCCGGACAATCAGTGGACAACTCCTCAACGCAGATCTCGCGTCCACTTCTCCACATGTGTGTGAGCAGGCAACAACAAGCTCGCTGATTACACACAGGCAGCCTACGACCAGTTAGCGAAAACAACGGTACTTCATTTCGTGATCATGCACAACACCAGAAATTGGTAACCCAAAACAAACCTATTTAACGTCTTCGCTTCTAGGTTTTTATGACAAAAAAATACAGCCACTTCAGGCCCCACTTCTCTGTTGCTACCAGCAATAAACATTCATTTACTGTTACAGGAAACGTGAACTCAGCCATCTTACTGATTAAACTACGCTGGAAGGTAAGACAAAGTGCACAATCGCCTAGTTTTCTAGGTAGGCAATATAAATTCGGCTAAATTGACAAAATCTACTGCTTGTAGTGAATTTCAGCTGCTGCACACGTTGATAATAAAAGAGCACTTACTACTTCCCACACATGCCACATATCAAGCCATCCGACTGCCCGGCTTCAGGAGATGGCTGCATGCATAAATTCTGACTGACATCAACGGTTAGTGTGGCGCCACGAAATACAAAGCCTTCAAATTCACTCCTCATTGGTTGTCCTGCGCCGTCAGTTCATTTCCAATTCGTGCAATTAATTGGATCGACTGAAGTTGTACAAGCCACATGAATGTGAGTGGCTCGAATTGGCTGACTTGCATTCAACAAAGCATCCACTCATCATTCTTCTTGCATTACAACACCACAGGTGAATGGGTGGGTGGGTGGATAACATTTCGGCACTGTTATTTTGTGACGCCTTATGTTACGATATTATGTAAGTGGTGGCAGCTCGTCAGCTGGAGGACTTGTGAGCATTCCATGAGTAAAATAACTTATATTACATGAAGAAAATAGCCTTAACAAGTATTACACCCTCCACGTTACAAGGGTATCACAGGATTCGCAACTGAAGTACAATTACAGAGTCGAAAGCGCTTGTCTGCAGGAAACAGGGAGGCAGTAACCGCATTCCAATCCGATGATATCAAGTCTACAGTACAATGGTGGTTGGCAGTTACATTGACCTGCCTTAGGAGTGACAACTCCACCTCCTCCAACAAAGGAGTGTCTTCGTGGTCATTATTTATTGATGATTTACAGAGGACTTCCTGACATTACTTTAAAGTTTGTGAAAAAGAGAAAAGGGAGGGAAGAAAGTGTGGCCTGTGCGTTTATTCGAAAGTGAAGGAGGTCGACTGTAACCGAACACCTTCCAACTGAAAGAAAGCAGGCACTACAAAATGGAGGATATCTGCGTACATGCAGCACATACTGAGCCACTGTGAGGGGAGCAGGAAACTTGACTCTCTGTGTGACGCATATCATTTGGAGGAGTGAAAAACACGGATTATCTACATCTCTGTCCAAGTAGTACCAATTAAGCAAAAGGGTAGTCTATTGCAAGAAAACTGTTGCCACCTCCATCAAACTGTGCTATATGCATGTGGGACATTCAGTATTCGGCATTGGCAACATTCGAAGCGATTTCCACTGTCGCTGCTGCTCTCTGAGTCATGTGTTAGTGCAACTAAATGCCTATTGCCTATGCGAAGAAAGAAAGAGGTTCCCATTAGCATCAAATCCGGTCATCAGTTGGTTGTTCGTGGCCTTCCACCTGTGCCAAGAGAGAACGACATTCGCAGTCTCTCTTGCTTGTTTTGGTGCAGTCGCCAAAGTGTGGGTAGATAAACTGACGCACAGAGCTCTCGTGACTTTCTTCACTGCAGAGGTGCTGTAAATGGCGGTAGTAACGACTGCTTCCCACCCCAAGGATGTGAAGCTTCGCTTCTCCTTTCCCAAAGATCGTGTATGGAAGAGCGGAAGCACTCAATCATTCACTTTTGCTTCCCAAACATCCTGCTGTTCGTAACGTCGCAATGCCGCAATACTCTGCTCAACAATCTTACTTGATGCTTGTTTCAAATGGCTGGTTTTCTGTTCTTGATTCCTATCATAAATCGAGACATAGCTTTGGTGGTCGAAATGCCCTAATCTATCAGAAGGTAAAACTCATGCAGAAAATTAATTACCTCCACTAATACCTGTAGAAAAGGCAGCAATCCACGAAAAGGACTAATTGCCTAAACAATAACTGCAACACCATAAGCAA